AGTGAGATGTTGAGCACTGGCAGCAGGGGCAGTGATTTGATCTTTGCTGCTCCCACATTCTGGCTGTTTTTTTGTCTCCTGGGGCTGTCCAGGATCCTGGGTCTGGACCTGGTTGTCCGAGATGACAACGGGAACATCCTGGACCCAGATGAGACCAGCACAATCTCCCTCTTCAAGGCCCATGAAACTGCATCCAAGAGGATTGATGAGAGGATCCAGGAGGAGAAGGTACCTCTAGTGTCCCTGGTTTGCCCTCTTCAGTCACTGAGTTTTTCAGGTTTTATATTCTTCTTAATGTTGTGCTCTCCTGGCAGCAGAACTAAATCTCCCGTGTTTGTTCATAGGGGAAATATAAAATATAATGGAAATGTGGAATTCTTTGCAGTCTCTGCAGCAGAGTTTGGACCTCCGGGGACAGCCAATATTCAACTCCACACACACTTACAGCCTCTATGTGAACTTCAAGAACTTCGTCTGCAACATTGGGGAAGATGCAGAGCTGCTGATGAGCCTCTATGACCCTGACCTCTCCAAATTCATCAGGTAGGGGCTCTTTTTGGAAATTCTTAAGCAATTTAGTCATCAGGCTGATCATTCATAGAACTCAGCAGGTTAGAAAGGGAGATCCAGCAGATGTTTTCCAGTTCTGTTGGTTGCTGCCCCAGTGGGGGAAAATGAATTCCAATTACTTTGGAATGAATTTTGGAGAGATAAGAAGTCCAGGCACTGTCCCTCCTAAAGCTGGGTATTTCTTTGATCCCACATTGTCTTTTTATATTCTTAACTTTCTCTGCTGTGGCTGCAAGTCTTGGTTAAGCATTTTATTAATTGTTTCCCAGTAAATCATGGATTTAAATGATGTTTGCTATCCAGTCAGTGCCAGTTCACATCTGAAGAGTTGGGAGGATATGAGGAGCTTTATCAGGGAGGCAGTTCTGTGTCAGGAACACTCTGTGTCCATCACTGCAGTTATCAGGTGTGGCCATGCAGTGGGAACTGTCCGGGGAATCAGCTGCCAGGGCTCACCCCATCCTGCATTAAGTGAGTCACTTCAGAGTCATTTTGGGATAAAAGATTCGTCAAATATTCCTAAAATATCAAAATGCAGTTGGGCTTTTGCCAGGCAATGAAGATGTCAGGTGGTGATCTGTTAAAATTTACTTTTTCTCCCTTTCTTTGCAGTGAAAATTACCTGGTTCGTTGGGGCAGCAATGGGATGCCTAAAGAAATTGAGAAACTGAACAACCTCCAAGCAGTGTTTACTGTAAGTTCAGAGAATCCCAGAATGGGTTGGGTT